GRWGGAGGAGGAAGAAGAAGATGATGTCCTCCTTGCTATCTCACCTGCAGGTAGCTGTCACCGTACTGACTGTGGTCGTCGTCGTGTGCAGGTACCGCGTGGAGCCCAGGTATGGCGCCAGGTAAGCTCGCCGATTGCAGGTAAGGCCTTCGCCTCTCTCTACTACCTACGCCACTACTCCCTACTCCGTAGCTTAGCGCAGAAATAACGCTGCCTCCAACCAGCAGCTTGTCGCTCCAGAAAAGAGGTACTTGAACTGTCCTTGCCCAGCCATTGCCCARCTATTTGTAGCGCTGGGCGGGCTGGGCCTACCTGATGCTGGCCTCAGGAAAACGGCCGGCCCAGCTGGTCTGGGTCCCTACCGGACGTCSAGACCATGCTGCTGATGCAGCAAGGCCCAGAAATGCGGCTGGCCAAACAATGGCCCGGTACCTGTGCACCTAGCCCAAGGCGTCGCCTTGGGACCTTGCAGGACCGAAACGACGCCTGCACCTACCGGTCTGGCGCCAAAATGTGCCTGGCCTCGTTTCAGGCCTGCCTCCGGTGTACCCAGTCCAAAGGTTCGGCCTTGGGGCTGCAAGTCCGAAACGGCACCTGAACAGACAAAGTAATACAGCACACACACACAAAACGGTAAGTAAACCTACACCTATCTAACTAGTGTGCTACCTAGGGCCTGAAGGGCTGCCGTGGGCCTCCAGGGCGCGTGCTGTATGGTACGCGGCCTGGGGCCCCTCAGCAACCGTCGGGCCCCTCAAATGGGGCCCGTGTGCAGGTGCAGCATGCAACAAGGGCTGACCAAAGGACCCCCCTGCGTAGCCCTGATTGAAGCACAGTCAGACGAGCCCCCTCCTATGGGTCCTTCGAGCGCTACCATCTTCCACCGAAAATAATGCCCGGGTGTTATATTCAAATTACCCTAAAAAAAGCAGATTTTGTTTTCACTCAGTTTTTTCCGAATGTAATGCTCCTTCGAATATAATACCCGGGCTTTATATTGTAATAGAACACCCAGCCGATGTATTTGAATGTGCCATGGGCAGAGCGCCTTGTAGAGGGAGTATACATGGGTTTTAAAGGGTGGGAAGGGGGGTATACATGGGTTTTAAAGGGTGGGAAGGGTGGTATACATGGGTTTTAAAGGGAGTTGAAAGGGGTTCTGATTTCCAAAGGGTATGTTTTGGTTTGATTTTTTGTTTTCTTTTTCTTCATGTCCAAATTCATTAGGAATGCTGAAGTGACCCTTAGCGAAAAGTTGGTTGCATTGCAGTTCTAGACACCATTTTTTTTGTACATAATGTTTTAATGTTTTTATTTTTTCGAACTTAGGGGCCCTACTGAATTTGCTACCAATTTACTGAATGTAACGCCCGGGCGTTATAAACAAATATAATCCCCGTGGGGCGCAATATTCGTATGCAATGCCCGGGTGAAGACAGTAGCCATTGGTGTTCTTTCGACATGTCCCATAGGTTGACCCTGCCTGTCCCCCAAACTCACCTGGGCCCCCAAGGATGTGAATCTAGTTGAACACCCTAGATATATCACAGCCAGTGTCTTTGCTCCCCCCCACCCTAGCCAAGGTCTAATCCACGGCATCCTCTGAGCGACCTGGATATACACACCTAGCACAGCTATTATCGACTGTTCTACTTGTGTTGGCTAGTTTCTTGTTCTATAAAGGGTGGCAGTCTTGAGATATATCCACAGGTGACCGGCCCCAGGTAATTCGAGATTGTTATGGAAGTTCTTTAGATTATATGTCATGATTATTGGTCATCGAGCTTCTGTTCTGACAGGTATGTTGAGAGTTTAAGCCTCTTGAAATATCGTGAAATTGAGGGTCTCAACTCAACCCTGATAGGCATCGGAATTGCGCCATGAATATACAATTGTTATTCTAATTACGACGTAGAGGTTCTAGTCTATATGAGTAGATGTACGACCACCATCCACCTCCCTACCTTTAAACGTCCTCTAGAGCCTTCTCTAATCACTTCTGATTGTATTGTCGTTGTTCTGATCATTATCGATTTCAAGTGGACCCCGCCACGGCGTTGCAATGCTCGCTGATGGCGTTCTTTTTTTGGTTCATGTCTCTCTCTCTCTCTCTCTCTCTCTCTCTCTCTCTCTCTCTCTCTCTCTCTCTCTCTCTCTCTCTCTCTCTCT